ACGAATATTAATGAAGCTCTTTTGACAGCCATTAATTCTCTGGATCAAGCCACCCGTGAGGAGTCATTGCCAGAAAAAAGCATTTCGATGATCATTTTGCTGACAGATGGTGACCCCACTGTTGGTAAGTTAGGAACAAAAAAGCTACCCAGTTCTTATTTCTGTTCTTTGCATTTTATTTGTTTTAGTATGTACTTTTAAACAATAACATCATTTTTTTAAAAAAAAAATAGTTTATTTAAAACAGCATTATTTTCTTCCTTAGCTTTACCTCATGTATTGAACTTCACAATTTCAAATATCCTCAAATGTTTCTTCTGACTTCTTTTCCAGTGGTTTTATTCATTCAGCTCCATATCTATGTGCAGTATGTTTGTGTGAAGGTTGTTTGAGTGAGTGTGTTGTTAATATAAAGGCCACAGGACTGAGGTTGGTGAAAAGAAAGAAAAAAATAATAATTCGCTATTGATAATGTATATAAATCTTTCCAAGTATATTGGAAAACAAACCCTATCATCAACCTTACAATGAGGATCAGCCTAAGAAAAGCATATTTGTATGTTTCTTAGCTCTGAAATCTAATCTGTTGATCATTTAAATATTTCAGAAATTGCACCAACTTCTCTGATCCACAGTAATATTCTATTCTTCGTATTACTATAGACTATGTTTCTTTCTTGTGATAATAACACTTTGTAAATCTGTAGCGCAGTCATATTCTATTGCTTCTGTTATTATTTTCACATGCCCATTATTCACTCTTAATCTTTTATTTTGGTTCAGTGACACACCTGAGCAAGCTACTTCATGAGGTATCTACCATGTATGCACATACCATGTTCACATCCTGTCTTTTCAGCAGAAAATGGCACCCAAGACAGTTAATGCTGATAAAGTAGAAAAATTAGCAAATACAATAAATCATTTAAAACAAAAGTAACGCAGATATTTGTGCTTGTTCATACATATAACAGGTGAAACAATCCCTAAACTAATATACAAAAACATAAAGCAAGCCAATCAAGGAAAGTATTTCCTCTACTGCCTTGGCTTTGGATTTGATGTAAGCTATAGTTTTCTGGAGAAGTTGGCCTTAGACAATTCAGGATTGGCTCGACGTATATATGAGGACTCAGATGCAGCTCTTCAGCTCCAGGTAAGAACCCATGTCCAAAACATGTCAGTATCTTTTGACATACATCAGTAGCATGCTAAAAATAATCTTAATTTTCCTGACTGGAATATGCAATGATTTCCTGGTGGTTCTATCTTCCTTTATTTAAGGACTTTTATAGTGAAGTGGCTATTCCCGTCCTGAAGGAGATTAATATAAATTACATTGGCAATGCTGTAGAGGATGTCACTGAGAATAACTTTAAGTTGCTCTATGACGGTTCTGAAATTGTAGTGGCTGGAAAACTTGACAGTGAAATTGATACTTTTTCCTTGGAAGTAAAAGCTCAGGCGGTAAGTACCATGCAATTACTCCTCGTTAAAAAGGTACAAGAGATCTGTTTCATAGATGAAGTACTGAGTTATGTTTCCAAACTAGGTTCTGAAAAGAAGTAACAGTGTGTTACCTTCAAAATGTTTTAAAAATACAAAATGGAGTGTATCTATGCACGTGTACAAAAACATAGGTGAAACCGCTGCGTTACATATTGCATGATAAAGAAATCTTAAAGCAAACTTGCTGCAACAAGTGTAACTGCTGTTAGGATCATTTGCAGGTTAAACCAGATTTTGCCTTCACACTGTGCAAATGTGGCCAATGAATTCAATATTTTGAACATGCAATTCACTATTTCATTTGAGTGCTTTAATTTTAATGTGTATAATCTTTTCTTCCTTGAAGGTAGTAAATTGAAAGGGCCTGTCCTTTCAAATATGTTTTGCAGACTGGAAGTTGATTGGGTATTATATCAATAACTCACCCTGATCCCTTTCCCCGTTTTTCAGCATGGAAGCAATTTGACCCTGAAAGAAAGTGCTAATGTCAAAGAGAAAGCACAAATTTTTGAACATCAGAAATACATATATGGAAACTTCATTGAAAGTTTATGGGCCTATTTAACCATTCAACAGCTATTAGAAAAGTCGTGAGTGACTATCTTTGCATATTTGGGGGGATGGTAACTCAAAGAAAATACTTTCTTTTAAATATTATAACTAACTCAAGTAGTTAGTGCTTGAGTTCACAAAGGCGCTGGTCGCACACTATTGTTGTTCATTCTGGGTTCATTCTTAGTCTATCTTGTCCTTCAGTTTGTTTCACTTTGTGTCTCAGTGAGAAAATATGAATATTCCAAACCACATCTTAAAACTTCTGAACCTAATTTTTATATTTAAAAAATCCTGACTTACATATAGAATCAGCAGAAATTATGCTCTGTGTTTTAGCGTTTTGGAGCAAGGAGCAGGGAAGAAACATCTGGAAAACCAAGCATTAAACCTCTCCCTGAAGTACAGCTTTGTAACACCCTTGACTTCCATGGTGGTCACTAAACCAGAGGCCAAAGAGTTGGTTAACAAACCAACAGAACAAGGTAAAAACCCACATAATTCTTTCAGTATGCAATACAAAGATCAGAATAGATTGCTGGCTGTTTCATTGTCTTCCGAATTTCAATCAGTTGCTAGAAGAATGACTGGGACAATGCTTCTGAGGATATCTGTAAGTGCTGCCATGATGAATTAAGAATTCTGAAATAAAAACATGCTAATTGTGGTGTGTGAGAGCATAAATATGGTATCACTGATGTTCACACTGAATGCAGTGTATATTTTTCAAGTGTTAACTGATTACCATGAAACAGGATTGAGATTTTTCTGACATTATTTTTATTTTCTTTGAGGAAATATTTTTAAATTTTAAATCTTAAAAAAAATTAAACCTAATCCTATTCCTTGCTTACTCAATAATATAACCAGCAATATATCAAGCTATTTTCTGTACTGTGGTTTTATTATATATAAACAGAATTTTCTTATATGAGCTAGATTGATTCACATATTAGATTATTTCAATATAAAACTGAACTGTGTTCTATCCACTTTCTTTTTATACTAAGTATATT